CCCCAAAGTGTCCCCAAGGGCCCCCAAGTGCCACCAAAGTGTCATCAAGTGCCACCACTGTCCACAAGTGTCCCCAAGTGCCACCAAAGTGTCCCCAAGGGTCACCACTGTCCCTAAGTGGCCCCAAGTGCCACCAAATGCCCCCAAGTGCCATCACTGTCCCCAAGTGTCACCAAAGTGTCCCCAAGTGCCACCAAAGGGTCCCCAAGTGTCCTCAAGTGTCACCAAAGTGTCCCAAAGTGCCACCACTGTCCCCAAGTGTCACCAAAGTGTCCCCAAGTGCCACCAAAGTGTCCCCAAGGGTCACCACTGTCCCTAAGTGTCCCCAAGTGCCACCAAATGCCCCCAAGTGCCATCACTGTCCCCAAGTGTCACCAAAGTGTCCCCAAGTGCCACCAAAGGGTCCCCAAGTGTCCTCAAGTGTCACCAAAGTGTCCCAAAGTGCCACCACTGTCCCCAAGTGTCACCAAAGTGTCCCCAAGGGCCACCAAGTGCCACCAAAGTGTCATCAAGTGCCACCACTGTCCACAAGTGTCCCCAACTGCCACCAAAGTGTCCCCAAGGGCCACCAAGTGCCACCAAAGTGTCATCAAGTGCCACCACTGTCCACAAGTGTCCCCAACTGCCACCAAAGTGTCCCCAAGGGCCACCAAGTGCCACCAAAGTGTCATCAAGTGCCACCACTGTCCACAAGTGTCCCCAACTGCCACCAAAGTGTCCCCAAGGGCCACCACTGTCCCTAAGTGTCCCCAAGTGCCACCAAGTGCCACCACTGTCCCCAAGTGTCCCCAAGTGCCACCGCTGTCCCCACCTCGTCGACGAGGACGGTGTCCCCCAGGAACATGGCGTACGTCCGCTCCTCCGGCCGCTTCCCCTCCTTGTTGGGCAGGTCCGAGAAGCCCACGTTGATGCTGAACACCATCCCTGGGGCGGGAGGGGACAGTTTGGGGACGGACCGGGGCCGTAGCGGGGGGGGGGAACAAAAATTCAGGGTGGGGGGACGACATTTGGGGACGGGACAGGA